ATTAGATAAATATATAAATATATATTTACTACGCGAATAAATATATATATATATATATCGAATTTATTACATGTACAGGGTGAGCATATACTTTTAGTAATTGTTATTGCAGAGTATGTAATGATCATACTGTATTTCATACAAATCTTTTAGAAAGCACTATATTTTATGAAATGGTGGATAGCAGGTTTCTTTATATCCTTATTAAAGATTTTTACTTGTAATCATTAATATTAACATTTGTCTTTTGATTTAATTGAAGTATTGTACGATTATATATTAATGTTAAAACGAATAACTGGTATTTAGTGCTATAAGTATGTAGCATCTATATTATTTCAATTAGAGTAACATAAGCTTGAGACAGATATCTCAAGTGCTAAACATCAGCTGTGATTCATCAAAAGTAGAGTACCTAAGAGTCTCATTTTTCATTAAAGATGCATAAAAGTATATAAGGCAAGACTTGAATGACTTTATCATATGTATGAGGTATAACTTTCTTCAAAAGTTATTTATTCTTCGATACAATCAAGATCATTAATATCTATAAAACTAGAAACTTTTTTGAAATAGATACAGTAATTATGATCAACCTACACATATGGTTTATCATTAAATTAGATAACTACTATTATAGAACATAATGAACAAATTTTGCGTGTATGTACATGTATACATATATACATATATATCTTATTAAACAAACTTCCAACTACATACAGAAAAACATGTATACCCACTTGAAAAAATATCAATATTACTAAGTGCTTTAAAATGAAAAAATAGCTTCAGAAAGAAGTTACATTGCTGTGTGAAACTGTTTAACTCTAGCTTCTTATAAGAATAGTATCGTTTCGTTAATGGTAAAGGAGACAATTAGGTGTTTTGCTTCTGATGGAACATCATGTACTTAACAGCCATATAAACATTCCATTGCAACCTGAATGAAATACATTTCAGAAAATATTTTCTGTTTACTAGCTACATATATCTGAGAAATGAACTGTTTAACTGCATATCTCTAATGTAGACATATATATAATTGAAAATGAAAGTGACGCATGCGGTACACGTTAATATAGTCTCTGGATATAGTAGATGTAACATCAAACTTGTAATGGAAATGACTTTTACAATCCATTCTTAGCTAAGGCGCGGCATAGTTACAAGAATAATATTCGTGACATTCTCTTCACCACTTTTGCAAACATCCTGTGTGAAGGTACTACAAGAGATTCTACAATTGGCACTAAAAATTACATCATAAGGTCTTTTGCTTGAAACTATGATAAGGAAAAGCATAATGTCGAGTCTTTCATCCAGCTATTTTCAATTATTATTGGACCATTTGTTAGAATCAAACAGCATTAGAAATTTACACGTGCCTCTCGTGTGCATTAATGATCTCATTTGGGATGAACTCTATCGCAAAACGAGTTATATTTGAGCATCACGATATTCATGATTTTATTATTGGCACTGCTATTGTTTCCCTTGATAATTCATTTAATCATGCAACGATTTCCACTGCTGCCTACGATGTAGGAATGTATAAAATATGTATCAAAGTTTATAAGAATAAAATGAAAGATTTAACAAAAAGATTAAAATCACGTCAAGTCACAATGGTTCTTCAACAAATTTCCTCTGTGTCCATACAATATGAAAAAATTATATCAAGTGAATAAAAACTATAGCAGGAAAAGTCGTACCAATTTTCTTTCAAAAAATGTCTTTCTATATTATTCGAAACATCTTTTGCCTCAAAATTCGATGCAATTAGAGATTTCTTAGTCTCGAAACAACTGATTCTCTCTTTTCACCGTTCAAAGGTAAATCTCGACGACTCTTCAAATATCAATAGCTTTCATTCGTTCGAAACGAAAGAATTAACAGATTACATTGATTCTGTTTAAAAGAAACAAAAATCCTACGAAATCGAGTCTCTCCCTCGACGCCACGAAGTTAGTCCGCGAGATCAAGATTTTCACAATGTTTCCTTTCTACTGAAGTTCGTTTCTGTTGCTATCGTGATCCGCGCAGATTAGTTTCTTAACTTCGAGGATTATTACGGTCTACGCTTTGGCACAAAGATCGCGTTCGTGAAAACGGTATAGTAATTGGATTTGAGCTCGAGACGATTACTCGGTAGAAACTGTCTACTTTCAGGGACATCGGCCGCTAGTCGGGTTTTCTCGGGCTTTTGGGCTTCGTTCCATCGAATATTACCGGGAGGGGGGTTTCCGCGAGGAGCTGTTCAAATTACGGAAATCTCATTCGCAGTCCTACATTTGTCTTATTCTCGTAGATATGTTCAGGCTAACTCCATACAACGGATCATTAGAAACACCATTTTGGATCACGATCGAGCCAGCCTGACAACATCTCGACGACAGAGATTTTTCTTTTAATCTTTATATATATAATATATACGATAAAATTCAAAAAATACAACCATAACTACGTTTAAATCGAACGAAAGGACAACAAGATATTTCTCGTTATTACTTTCGAAAACGACTCGTCGAACGTGGAGCGCTTTTGAACAGGTTTTCATCAAGATCAGCGATTATCCGCTAAACGGGGGGCTTTACATAAAAAGAAAGAGTCGAAAATTTGCGAATAGAGGGCATCGGGAAATTTTTCTTAGAAATATCGAAATATACTTTACGTTGTATTTTTTCTTTTTTTTTTCTTTTCGTTTTTTTCTTAAAGAAACTTCGAGTGACGAATATAAGAAGGAATCGCGAAAGGTCTCGGTAAAGGGACAGTTTAGTAATACAGAGAACACCGACAGGAATCGTTGTTCTACCAATGCCGCCGCTCGTTAAATCAGTTCGACGATCGATACAATTAATAAACATTTGACAGAGCAACAACCAAATGAGGAGCATTTTCTTTCTCTTTATCTATCGAAGCAACCATCAGAGAAGGTGTACTCTAAAGGTTTACGAAACAGATAGACTGTCAGTTACAACGAAGAGAACACGTTCGTTACAAATGTTCACGAAAAGCAACGCTCGTTAATTTCGAGATGTATGCAAACATCGTACAGAAATCGCGATGCTCTT